TATATATATATATATATAGAATTTGATTCCATATTTTAAATCTCTATAAAAATGGTCTTTATTCTTACGAATAAACTAATGGATACAATCAAATTCGTACTGCGATATCATTCATTTGTCTAAATCACTTTGCACGATTTTTTAAATTATTCTTTTTTTAAAAGACTTTATAAGTCAATAATTGTATTTACAAGATTTTCACGGCTTCCATACATTTATAATAGTCGTATTAAATTTATCTCGCAAATTTTTAAAAAACTCTTAAGCGTTTATCTGAATTACCACTTAATCTCAATATGAAGACATAGCCTGAAAAGTTACATTTATCATATCTTCCCCGAAGTCCGTATTATTGTGCTTAGTATTATTGTGCTCCTTATTATTGTGCTTAGTGCTTGAAGGTATTCCTCATTTGGTAATAAAGTTTGAATTGAAGTTTAAAAGGCGAATTCTTAACTTTTTTTTTCTTTTCGTGTTGAGTCAATTTTTTTAAACATGTATATTAAGCTGTGTCCATTTTTAACACGCATTTTGAGCCTTGATTAAAATTAAAGAAACACGCCATTCTTTCGCATGGACACTAACAGCTCATATGCGTTAATGAAGATATTTTTTATTTAAAAAAATACACTTGTTTCAAAATATTTACTTTTATATCTACGGATCCATTCGTTCTGTTGATGTCTCCAAGCATTGCTGACAATAATGATGATTTCCCCGATCCCACAGGTCCAATAACGGCAACCAATTTACCCTTTGGTATATGCAGCTCGATGTCATGTAAGGTGCACTCTTCTTCTCCCGGCCATTTGAATGACGCTTTCCTTATCGTCAAAATATCACCTGATGAATAAATTCTTATTTTATCTACTACGTAAAATTTAAGAAAATTATATTTCTTTTTCATAGTTATCGATACAATTGAGAGTAGCAGGCACTAGACAAGCAATTCCAAGCCAATACCAATATTAACACGTTGAGAGCCGCGTCAGCCATCGGTGGCTGACACTGGACTTTCCATTTAGGCTACGTCAACCACCGGTGGCTGACACTGAAATTACATTTAGGCAGAGTCAACCACCGATGGCAGACACTTAAATTACATTTAAGCCACGTCAACCACGTGGCTGACACTGAAATTACATTTAAGCTGCGTCAACCACCGGTGGATGACACTAAAATTACATTAAGTTAGTAATTGGTTGTTAAAATATTGATTTAAATTCATATGAATGCTTGAAAAAAAGATTTTACGAAAGGAAAATAAACATAGTTACTAATTACTATTTAATTCTATAGTTACCTTCGTCGGGTTCAGTTCCAATAACCCCTGGATCCGTGTTTTCTGCTGCAAAAAAAGTTCGCAAACGCTCCAAAGCTATGCTAGTCTTGAGAGATAAGAAAAAAAAATTTAGTAACTGATATAATATAAGTCAAAAGTAACTGATATAGTAACTGCAGTAAGTAATAAAAATTTATTTTTTAACAAATATAATATAATATAACTATAATATAATATAATATAACTATAATATAATATAATATACTATACTATACCATAATAATATAANTATAATATAATATAATATAATATCGAATTTTATCTTTACATTTACAAAAGAATCATTTCAAAATCATTATTTAGTAACCCACGAAATAATAGATCCTCTTTATATATTTCGATACATAATATTTAGAATGAAGAAAATCGGTCGGTATTCGGCCGATCCCACAGCCGTGCATAAAGTGCAAAAAATTTAAAATCTTTTTATAATGCGTCCTATCAAGAAACTAATTATGGTAAATATGGTACTAATTATGGTAATTGTTTGTGGTTCAGTGCTCTTTCAAAGTCGTTATAGTGATAGTTAGCATATCATCAAAGCAATGGAAAGACACTTTTTTAGGAACCAATTAAATGTTAGACATTTTCACCCTACTTAGAATTGTTTTGTATACTTCGCACCAGAACTGGTGGGCTCCCACTGATTTATCTGATCTGACAGGATTCAAAGAGATAAGATAATGACATGGCTGGGTGTATAGTCTAGTTCTAGTACATGTACGACACACTCATTAATATGGTAAAACAAATGATAATGCAAGTGCACGGCCGATATACCCCCACCCCTCGTTATACCAATCCGATATATATGAATGGTGATAAAATGAAAAAATGATTATGTACAGTATTTACACTAGTTGCAATATTTTTAAGATAATTTACCATCCGCTGAGAAAAAGGCTCCTAATGGGCTGAGTGTACTATTTTCCTTTAAGAATTCTTTGCTAAAGATATCATTAAAATTTTTCCGTGTCAAATTTTTCTGCTTTACTAAAAAAGTTAGCATTATGTAAGACATTGTATTGAGAGAGCTTTGAAAGATTTAAGACAAGTCATCTCTTAAAGTTTGATTCCTAGCATAGTATGGAGATATTGTAACGGATAGTAATCTTTTATTACGTAAAATGTCAAGTTTATGCAGTAAGTGATCTGGTGCTGTGCGTTTGCTGGTTATGCATCAGTGATTAGAGATCTTATGCTGTCTACATATAGTGGTGTTTTTAGGTTTACTGGCAGTTTTCAGTGTTTTCCTATCTCTCAGAGCTTTTAAATCTCTCCAAGTTTTTGAGATGTTGTCTTTTATATGGTCATTCCATGTAAGCCTATTATTTAATCTCCGGCCAAGGTATTTAGTGTTCTGTACCTCTCTAGATCGCCCCACCAACTACAGCACATCTATGCAGGAGTTGTCAAACTATTGTATTAACCAGAGATGTTTCGTGTTAAATTTTAGAAAACAAGAAATGAACATTTGACAAAACATTATATAACGCTATAATAATTTGAGGTACCACTGAATGCTCTCAATATAGTAAAAAAATATGGGAATAGTTTGATTATGTTCACCTGTATCAATTCGGAAATGGATTCGGGCAAAATAAACAAGCCATACTTCAGCTGCTCCATAAGTGTGATTGTAACAAAGGCTTTTGTTGGATCCAAGACATTATTGCGATCCATAAATAAATAAGTAGCAAAACTTGCCACAGATATCTAGGGAACAACAGAAATATTTTGTGAGAAATGCCAAAAACTACATTGTTTGTCAATAAAAAAAAAGAAAATTTCTGAAAAAAAAGAAGAAATTGCCATAATAACCATGCTCTTACAGACTAAATTAATACAATCGGCCACAGCAAATATTAAAAGTTTAAAAGAATATGAAGAAATTATCTGTAATGTATAGTTTTGAAAAACACCTTTCTACATCATCGTATAAAATGATCACCAAAAAACCTTTTTCTAATTTCATTTTGGTAAATAGAAATTTTATTCATCATCTCGTTAAACATAAATTGCATTATAACTACATAAACTATAAAAATTTTAAATATCATATTCAGATCATAGTACCTAATTGAGAATTAGAATTATTTCATGAAAAATAATGGTCATGTAATATCTATTGTGGTAAACACACGTAAAGCACCCCTGACAGTCAAATTACACTCTGCAATATTAGTTTATAGAAAATTTTTAACTACAAGAAATGATAGAAAGGCAATATATGAAAACCACCAAGTGAAATTATACAAAATGCAACTATTATTTTTCAGAACAGATATAATAATTTCATAAAATATTATGTAAATTTAATGCTAATTTAATGTGCTTTGGAGTAACCTGCACTTACCTTTATACAATTCTCTGACTTTTTGTTAAAGTTTCCAAAACAATTTTTTTTTCAGACGTTTTTTTTAATTTTGGGGTTTTCAACGTCTTCTGGAACCTTGGTCCTTCAACAAAGTTTGCAGTTCTAGAAGTTTTTTGAAGTTTTCCCGAAGAGTAGTGAATGTGACTCAACACTACCTTCAAGACAATACCGTTACATACATTTACAGAAAGTACATAACGGCAGATAAAAGACGCTTCAAAACATATTAAATAGGTAACTCGCATTGTATTTTCAAGGATAATATTTTATTGAATCAGTCCTTGCAAATAATAGCCACACTATATAAGAATATAAAGAATACAATTTTTTATGATGTCAACATCTATCGTTAAGTCAAATATTTATTTAACTTATGTGGTGGGTAATCAGATGTATTTAATCCCTTATAACCTTCTTTCTAACTATAACTAGAAAACAGGTTGCTTACCATGATAGGTGCACAGTAGAAAACGAAAACATTGACAACTGTACACATTTGGGAGTATAAAATCAGCTTCAACTCTTTTCTTCTTTCCTCCGACACTTTTGCTAAAAATGCTATTTCCCAGGCATATAATTTCAGTATCTGAAATGAAATAAAGATTTAAAATAAGTGACACGAAAACTATAGGGCACAGTTGGCAACTTTTGAGCTTTTTAAGTAAACTTTTGTTCCAATTAAAAGAGAAAAAATCTTCCGGTTGACAGTGTTAAATCACATGAAATCTAACTCAAATCTTAGCGAAAGAATCTTTTTGAAAGAATATAGAATGAGTCACTAAAGAGAATTGATACTTGATGGGTTTAATTGTCTTCCACGCTACAAAATATTTTGCATAAGGCATTGTAGTTCGCAGTCTTGCAAATACATCTGCCAAACATACAACTTGTTATTAACATTCAGTTGTAGTCTTGAAGGACTTTCCTCGCTAAAAATAGAATTTTTGGCTGTATTTAGGGAAAACTTTCGTAATGTTCCGTTTTTCTGGAAAAAGTTTTTACAATTTCTTTCCGCTCTTTGAATTTTAGAGCATATTTAAAAACCATTCTTCTACTTCGTTAAAAAAAAATTTCAACTTTTTGTTATAAATTGAAATATAGTAACACATTTATGAACATACCACTAATCTTTACTTGAAAGACCGAAAACTTGTAACACTCAAAGTGCTTATTTCTTTATATTATTAATTTTCAAACTTTTTCTCTGGATTAAATAATGTATTGCAGAAATAGCATACACACAATGGTTTTTAGTCTTACGTGAGAGAAAGAAAAACATGATAGTGACATCTCCTTTGATTTGTAAAAAAAAAAAAAAAAAGAAGTGTGGAAAATGAATATATTAAATTATATAATGACAAACTTTTATCACATATAGCTGCATTTTCTCATTCTTATTATTTTCATTTTATGAATAACAAAGCATGAATAAGTTTGCTAAATAAGTTTAATTTTTTCGTTAAATGAACAATAGAATTCAATAAATTTTTTTTAAAAAAAAACTTAACTTAATTTTTGAAAAGAACACGAATTATAATTACGAAAAATACAAAGTCACTGTGACGATTGCGAAAAGCTATTCATTACCCTTATAATTAACAATATGATATATTGTTCATTACCTTTACAGTTAACAATTTGAAATCTTGCTCATTTCCTTTCCAGTTAACAACTTGGAATAGTGTTCATTACCTCTATTGTTTACAATTTGAAATATTGTTCATTAACCTTTGCAGTTAACAATTTGAAATCTTGCTCATTTTATTTCCAGTTGACAACTTGAAATAGGGTTTATTACCTTTAACACTTACAATTTGAAATGTTGTTCATTAACTTTTGCAGTTAACAATTTGAAATGTTGTTCATTAACCTTTACGGTTAACAATTTGAAATGTTGTTCATCAACCTTTACGGTTAACAATTTGTTGTTCATTAACCTTTACAGTTAACAATTTGAAATGTTGTTCATTACCTTTATGCCGCTGAGGATTTCATTCATAAACTTCAGTCGAGTGTCTTTGACTTTCATTTGTTCATCCTTTATTAAAATAAAACAAAAATACACGAGCATTATACATTTTGATAAACAATCCGCATAAAAACTTCCTTGCAAAAAATATAAAACAATGTGCATTCATGTAACTTCCTGACAAATCAAGGAACATAAACTTAGAACTTACGGTAAATTTTTCGCTGTACCTGGAGATGTAGTAGCCGATAGGGAGTAAGAAAATTATGACACCAAGACCAGCAAGTGTTGCCATTCCAATGTACTGCCACATAATTACAAGGATGACAATGATTCTGATTGGGCAAGTGAATAGCTCTGCGCAGTAATAGGTGAAATAGGAAAGTCTCTGAATGTCCACGGAAAGAAGATTGGATATGGAACCACTGGTAAATTCCTTACGAGCAGCTGGTGACAGCAAAAAGTTCTGCAAATATTAAAGAATTAAATATAAATCATATAGTGTTCTTATACCGCATGGCAATATTATCGAATTTTTTTTTAATTGGTAGGATCAGCTTGGCTGTTAACGTCAAGCTCGAGTTTCACTAATGGGCTGTAATAAATGCACGTGCGTGTACTACACTACCACAGATACGTCGGGGGACAGATGTTGGTAGTAATCATCTGGTCTCTAACCACCCAAACTCTGGGGACAATACATCAGAGAAAGTGTAGTAAGATAAGGTACCCAGACGGTAGAACGGGGAATTAAACCCCGAACAAAGCAGTGGCAGACGAAGACTTTATCCCCCACAATAACTAATCTTTCATTTTTAGAAGAAGATTGTTTAATAAATGTAAAGTGGACAGTTCGTGTCAGCTAACAAAAATAATAATAATAGAATTATAAATAATAATAACTCTTCTTGTTTTAAAATGCAACGAAACTATAAATGAATTTGCTTATTTTCGAACATGGCAATATAAATGAAACTCTTTATTTATAATTTTGTTTCTTGTAACTAAAATAAAAAAGTTTCTATTTACCTTAAGATTTCTTGATTACTTATTTCTGTGACAATTGTAATTTATTATCACAAAAATAATTTTAAATTTTTTTAAAATTTAGCTAGACTGTTGTTAAGCACTCCATTTATGGGATTCCTTCCAATACTTAATATTGTCCACTGAGATACTGTTTCTATAATGCTCGAAACAAAGGCAACCACTACAAAATTTAAAGCAGTATTTGTTTATCTACTCTTTATCTTTATAATATATTTTTTCGTTTATGGAGGAATAACAAATCGGTTCAATAGGCTATTTTCAGTGAGTTCTAAATTCAGTGAGTTCAAAATTACTTTTATAAAGTAATTTTGAAGTTCAGATGTATTAATTGTCTTGACTAAGTCACCATTCCACTAAGTCACCCTGGAACTAAGTCACCATTATAAAATTTCACTTATTATTTACCAATCTTCTCTTTATGACTTTATAATTATTTTTTTCTTTTGTTTATGGAAGAGTAAAAGATCATCTCAATTGGATATTTTCCGCGTGTGTGACTACCAGTAAGTTAAACTTTTATAAAATAGTTTTGATACCCGGGTTTCATCTGTATTAATAGCCAAGAGAATCACGTGTCATAATAAGTTAACTTGATTATATTGTTTTACCTTTCTATAAACTGCATTCATGAGGGCCGACTTCATCTGTGCACCAGAGTTAAAGAAGAAATACACTCCGAAATTATCGAATATTTTTCCAGAGGCATCTACTATGTAAAACAAACTCACATACAGCATACCTCTCCACGCAAAATGATCATGCTCAACAAAGTCTATGAGACGACTGAAAAAAAAATTATAATAAGTAAAAGTTTTCATGTGTATAAATTATGCACAAATTAAAAAAGTATGTTCACCTTATTATTCACGTTGTTTTTCAAAACATTGTTCTGTGTTGTTTCTCAAAATTTATTGTTGAGGTAAAAAAAAAAATTCTTTAATTCTCTAAACCCTCAAAATCTGAATATCCCATTTGGAATCTTTTTTCTTTTCAGCTGGTTCTCAGTGAAGAGTAAAATAAAATTTTAGCATTCTTAATTAGAAATTATTTATCACTATTGACTTTTTATCTGTGTTAGATCAGTTTAAAAAAATTTGGTCGTCATGGATATTTAAATTTTTAGAAATTAAATTTCACCAATTAAATATCAGGTATTTTTGACGAGTAGTTTTAAAATTAGCGATTTCTGAAATCGTAACTTTAATTATAATCACTCTGTATCGTACTATAATCACCCTATATATCAGAGTGCTCCAACCGGGGAGTAACCCAACAGAAGTTACGGGCAGCCGCAGGGGAGGGTGCTTACCGGCCGTGTACATTGCATTATTTTACACATTTATGTTTGAGCAGTCTATATATGGACTAAATGCTTAGCTAATGGTTAGCTAAGTCACTATCTTATATCTTGTCTGTTCTCATGAGTCAATGAGAGCAACCACGTCCGATAATGAGTAATTAGAACAATTTTAAGTCTGACTTTATTGTCATTACACCAATTGCTTTTTATGACACTAAGTCCTAAGAAACTGGAGTTCATTTAAGAGATTGACCAGTGTATCAAATCATATTAAATTTGTAACGCCATTATGTTAGCTACTTTTCTGAATTAGGTCCCATGAAACTAGAAGAACTAAAACCATATAGTGTAAAAAATTAAATCAACATCAATGGGCTACGTTTTAAATAGTTTTAAAGGAAATTTTATAAAAAGAACTATTAACTTCGTTATTCAAATATTAAAACTTTATTTCAAACTTTTTTTCAAAGTTATTAAATTAAAAAAAATGTACATGTACCAGGTTTTGCTTTTTTCCGTCTTGATATGGATAAGCTTTCAACCCTGTTCGAGACAGGGGTTGACAATGCAACATTTTGTATTCACAAGAAAAGAAACTTCATAAAAAAGTCGTAGGGCATTTGTTGTCAGGCAAATGTGTTTTTTTTTATTTGTGTCTGCCTCTTTAGTTTTAAAATATCATGATCTCGTAAAATGGGTATTTGTATTTTCCTATATTTTAGTGAACACGAATATCTGGTTCCACCATTAGAAAAAATTAAGAAATGAACAAGTGAGTTATCAGTGAGAGGAAAGAATTCCTAGGATTGCTGGCACCTAATAGATGAATACAGGGACCTTTTTGTAACGTGAAAGTAGTGGTTGGAATACCTTCATAACCTAGAATATATTTTTATGTTTTCCTTCTCTATTTATATTTCAACTTAGCAATGGATTGTAAGCCGTCTTTGTAATGAATGCACGCAAGACTGAATTAGTATACATAGTTGACAATAACTACAGATTTACGGATTATCCAGAGATGCCAACTGCTCCGGACACGCCAAAATAATTAAAAAAACGGTAAATAAATTCAAAGTAAATTTTGAAAATATTTGACCAATTTTGCTTGTTTTTTAGAAGATATAGCATGACATTATACATACCCTCCAACTTATGAGGATTTTGAAAATAATTCTTTCTAGTGGTAGCGAACCAAAGTAGAAATTTTTAAAGCAAATGGATCTCTTATAAAACTTTTATCAGAACTAAAGAATCTAGCCAAATGGCCTGCACTTTTATAAGTAATAGTGGAAAAGTTACGCTAAAATTGATTTTTTTTAAATATTAAGACATTAATTTTGCTACCGTCTGAAAAGAAGATTTCTGAAACTACGGAAATTCCGTAGCAGTTGGAGGGTATGCATTATATATTAGAAGTGGTGAATTTTATAAGCCTACGAATTATTTAAAAATAGTGGTGGATAAAAATTTACTTAATTGAATTTATTAAACCAAGAATCACGATTGATAAACTACCACTTTAAAATACATATTTGCTGTCCAGAGCAAGTTGGCATCTCTGATTATCTGTTGTATTTCATTTTTAGATAAAAAGTGGCAGTGAATTTATTAATATCGTTTTAATCTTTGGATTTATAAATTTCCTTTTCATTTTTGGATTTATAAATTCCTTTATTATTTTTGGATTTATAAATTTAATTTAATCTCATATTGACCTCTACTAAAGGCAAATAAATCAATCTGACATAACTGAACAAGTCATTGAAACGAAAATGAGTGTAAGCCATAGCAATTAAGAAAAGTTGATTTTATCTACAATTGTATTTCAATTAATTTTCACTACCATTTGGAAAATACTTCCTCAGAAAGAGTGAAATTTGGCAGGGATGTGTAAGTGTAACAAAGAAAAAATAGGTGAAAACAGGGTACCAAGGGTAGTTAACTAGTTGAAACTAGTCAGGATTGATTGATCTTTTTGATCTATCCAAGACATTTTGAATGCCCTAACAGTAGAAAAACCAATTAATTTCGATAATATATTATACCACTTTTTCCAGTGCATAGTTCTCATGCGTTTTAGAAATTTTAACCGGTTAACGCCCAGCGTCAGGACAGTCCCTTTTTTCAAAGACATTCATTGTGGTGGGAAACTTTTTTCAGTATTTTCATTTATCTGGGTGAATTAAAGGATTCTCAGATTCCACAATGATTTAGTTATTTCTGATTAGATCTAGAATTCTAAGGAACAAGTACTTTTTGATCTATCAAAGACATTTTGAATGCCCTAACAGTAGAAAAACCAATTAATTTCGATAATATATTATACCACTTCTTCCACAAAACCACTTTTTGTATCATTTCAATTTATAAATTCGGGACGAAATGGGTTAAGAAAGCATGTATCCTTGTATATTTAGTATATATTTAAACACTAATCAGAGACTCCAACTAATACTGACTCTTCGTAATTTCAGAAAATACTTATCTTATTGGTAGCACGAGAAATGTAATAATATTTTAATTAATTAGAATTAAAAGAATATTGCCCACCACTAAATACGAGCAATCAAAACAGATAGATGTAACATCATAATTAAATTACGATCTATTACGTTCTCACACAACTGCCAACTCTTACACCTCCTAAGGAAGAATTTTCACAACGGTAGCAAAAGATTAATTGAAATGCAGTTGTAGATAAAATTAGCTCTAGATTACTGTGACTTACATTCAATTTTATTTCTACAACTTGAAATGTTATAACTTGAATATAAAAATTTGAAGTATTATCACATAATGGCTGACAAAATTGCATTTTCTTAAAATTTATGGCTCTAAGAATTAAAAGAAAATTTATAAGATTGATTACCAAGCTGAATCTTAAATTTAAAATACTATGGACAATCCGTAATTACTGGCAACTATAATTCGAAATATTTATGTAATATTTTTCTTCAAAAAAAAAAAAAAAAAAAAAAAACTCAGTGTTGGAAAAAGTCAGCTTTGGTTCACTACCACTGAAAGAAATAGTTCGAAAGAAACCTTGCAACGTCCATTATACACAATTGGTGTCCTTTTTAAGTTTTAAAATACCACATTTATTAATAACTTTTGCGAAGTAAATCAAACGAAATTTCTTTATAGTCCCTAAAAAGAAAATGTGGTCGATATTGATTTCATTAAAGTATTTTTAAACTCATCATTGTGAGTAACTGTGATATAAAAAATAACTTGCTAACCTTGAAAAAATAGATTGCTTACGTCTGTTTTACATCGCTGTTATGACACAAATGTTTTATTCTATTTTCATTTCTTTTTTTCTATTTTTAGCAATGCATCAAGAGTTGTACAACAAGCACCGCTAAAAAGATTGTAAACATCACAAGTTTTTGGCGATCAAATCACTATGTTAAAGAGAATGAAAATTAATTTCATGACTAGCAGAGTGCTTTTACTTTTTTTTCTTCCTCTTTTTAATGCGTTAGATGCCAGAGCACGCAATTTTGGAACAATTTGCTTAATAAAACATAATTATTGGATTCTCAATTACCTACCTGACAACTTTTTTTATTTAATAATCACTTGTGTTAGTAATATGAGAATTGCATTACTATTACATGTAATATTACAATTTTTTTTTCGTAAGAGATAAAAGATATTTTTTCTCTCTTTTTGTTTCTCTTTTTAACGTTTAGGTGCCAAAGCATACATTTTTGGGACAATTCTTTTAAATAAACTTAATCATTGGCAACTCAATTACTAACCTGCCAACTTTTTTTATTAATGGTTTTCCCCTGTGTTAGTAATATGAAAATTGCATTACTATTACAGGTAATAATATGCTTTTTTTTCGTAAGAGCTGAAATCACATTTTTTCCCTTTTTTTTAACGATTAAGTACCAAAGCAGGCAGTTTTGGAACAAATCTTTTATTAAAACATTATCATTGGCTACTCAATTACTATCCTGCCAACTTTTTTTTTATAAATTTTTTTCCCAGTTTTAATAATATGAAAATTGCAGTACTATTAGAGGTAATAATATACTTTTTCATAGGTGCCAACTTACTTCTACAAGTTTTACTATTTAATTACCCACCAATTTATTAAAACTTTTTCAGAAAGCGGATCATTTGCCACCCCTTTACATTTACTTTCGAGGCATATTTGCTCCTTAACACGTTCACGCCGGAGTGACCCACCGGTGGGTCACGCTAGATTTTCTCATCTTGGCTGCACACCGGAGTAAAAACTGGTAACCAATGAATTTGACTTCTTAGTTTTTTCCGGGAATAATAAAAATCCATAACTACCAATTGTTTTTAACGGATGCAATTTTTATATTGAATTGCTTCTTCGCCGTGATTAATTTCCGCTTCTGCGTTTTCGCTCGCCACTTGACCCTTCCCTCCATCGACATCCTTACAGGCGCCCACGGACATCACCTCAGATGAAGGAGTCAATTGTCCGCTTCGTGGACAGGCACTCTGCTCTCAACTCAAGATCAAGTTCCGTGATAAATTTCCTTACAGTGAATTGTTATTGTTAAGAATAGATTAACTCTTACCGAATATTATCTAATATTGAAATACTTCTACTACCAGTATTTTCACTTTTTCCAGCGTGAACGTGTTAAATGAGCCCCAAATTACTTTAAAAAATCCAGGGTTCACGCGCTCATTAACCACGTCCCATTTTGTAAGGACGCTACCAACAGCAATCACATTTGCCATTTAGCGCCGACTGTCACAAAGACCTGCCAGCATAAAACCGTATCAATCAGGGTAAAAAGATAAAACTGGTAACCAAAGTAGAGCTCTTTAGCAATTTATTTGTGGTCGGGGTTATATTTGTTTGATTTATTTAATTCACCATTACTTTAGTTCAAAATAAAACTATTTAGTTATACTTTGAATTAACATTGATCATGTATATGATTAAACTAACAATAATTAAAGTAAAAGCAAAGTAAGTCTGTCAAATTAGAAACGACAACATTTAAGTTACCGTTTTTTATTTAATTGCAACTTGATTCTGATTTTGTACTTGCTTTTCTGAATCACCAGACCCCAAGGGGTTAAATTATCCTCCGTTTAATAGACCGAGATTTCATGAGAGGTATAATTTTACTGTTGTCCATCTAACTCAACTTTGCGCGAAATTATTTATGACTGTCTCCCCTTTCTTGAAATGTAGCATCCAAATTCGACAAAAACTTCAACTTAAATGTAGAAAAAAACTATTTTGGGACGGAGGAAGTTATAATTTTGTAAATAAAGGGTTCACAGGTATTACAAATCCAATCTTAAACTCTTGTTACAATTCTGGAGTGCTTACCTTAATGCCTACGATAAAATAAGAAGCAATATGTAACTTACTCTAAAATTAAAGGTGGCACCAGCAAGGCTAACGTGAAAATAAAATTAAAAATCGTTGCTGCTACTATCCAAGGCCAGAAAGTAATGATTAAACTTAGCCCTAAGCTTCGAGATTCAAGAGATTTGGGCTCCCTGAAAAATTTTGCATGTCATTAAAAAATCACAGAGAGACATCATTCATTGAACAGTTTAGTTAGTTCTGTTATGTTCATTATTACGTACTTGTTTATGTTCCATCTTTTCAGGAATTCTGAGTATGCAAATTTGGCCACTAGCCGGACGCTTATAAACTTTAGATCAAGTACAGTCAGAAGCTTCCGTCTACTTTCAAAGACGTACCTGGAAAAAAAATGTGCGGTTATGCAATGAAATTTAAAATAGTGTTCTTCTGTAACTAAAGCAGGAATGGCAGAGTTACCCATTAAAAAGAAATCTACTGAACAGGATAAAAATTTGCAACTTTTTCTAGCTTTTTTTTTTCTTTCAGTTTACCAGTAAAAAGGTTGGCAAGGAATATTTCCGTATTTAAACCATAAAAATTAAAGTGTACGTTATGGTATTAGTTACAATTGAAGAATTACATACATTAAATATAAGGGAATAAATTTAGTTTTTACCACTACATCCTGATAGTCACCTAATGGTTGATATTATAATTCGAAATACAGAAATAGGAAGGAAATATAAACTTATCTGGGTCTTAGAGAATAAAATATAAAATTTTCAACATACTTGGTAAACCAGGATATGGAAACATAAGAAATAAATGACACATCTTCTATAACTTTAGTATCCTAAAGATAGAAATAAAATATCATCAGAGAGGAAAAAAATTAGTAAGAAAACATAAATGCAGTCTCTTTGTACTGTTTTAGCGCAGCAACAACAAAAAAAGGGCGGAATATATCTTTATACGTTGCCTAAAGCTACATTAATTGATACATTTAAAAACGAAAGTTTAAATAACTAATTAAATTGAAGTAGTACGTTGCAATACAATGGCTCAATAAAGGAAGTGATGTTATCGTGATGGTGATGAGTACAGCCCGGATTTTGATGACCTAAAAAGTCTCAATTAATGTCCTTAAAAAGTGCAAAAAATGCCCTTATGAACTGCAAAAAATGCCCTTAAAAGTGCAAAAAATGTCCTTAAAATGCGAAAATTACGCTAAAAATGCCTTATGACATGACTTAAATAGAAGTAAAAATATTGAACTAAAACAATGTTTTACTCTTTAAAATTATTATGAGTCGTTTCAAAAAATGTAAAGCAATGCAATACTTGTTCTACGTTCATTAAAGTTTGACAAATATGTTTTATATCCAAAAATAACAACAAAAAAAAGGAAAATAGATTGACTCCAAAACATTTTCATTTTGTATAGAAACTTAAATGAATATAACAACTTCCATCTCATAATATTACTAAATATCAGAATTACAGTGGATTATTAAATTTTTTTTTTAATATTTTGAAATGTAAACGAGCGTCTCTTGTCTGAAAGCAAATTTTTATACCAGGAGAAGCTTCTTTCAACGTCTACTGATGTTATTGGTGCGTACTTGAAAAGGACGGTCACACTTACTGACAATTCTTCTTCAATTTGAAAAGATGTTGCTTCACCTGTTAATATCCTAGAAATTTTCTTCATTGTTTGGAAGCCAGTGTAATAATAAAAAATTATAAAAAATAATAAAAATTAGAAAAATTTAACAAAAAATTTAAAAAATGCTTTAAAATGCAAAATACGCCCCAAAATTTTAAAGAAAATACCCTATAAATCTAAAAAAATGCTCTAAAAGACAAAAAATGTCCAAAAATGCAAAAAATGCAAATGTCATCAAAATCCGGGCCTTAGTGATGAGATATTGTGAAGGGGGTGATATAGTGACGTGAGTTTTCGTCACTTTCTCTTCTCGTTGGCAACGGGTAAGACTGAGAATATTTGTATGCATTTCCTTATCTACCTTTATGTAAGGGCCTCCCTGACTGAGCGGTATCACCCGCCAAACGCTATGCAAAGCGTGGAGGTAGCGGATTCGAATCCCGCTGTTACCCAGGATGTATCTTCGTGTTGTCCTTCTCTGTATTGTGCTATCTGCCATTCTATTTGACAAAAGTTTATAAGTCTAAATTGAGCTCACAAGCCTGTAAATGTATGTACTTCTAATAAATCAAACCAAACTTTTATGTACATTTTATCCTTTCGCATAACAAGCAATAAAAATACGAGTGATTGCTATGAACTTAAAACCAGCCTTATCACTTTCTGTATTAATTTCAAAACTTTTATAAACTTTATTTTAGTTGTTTTAGCTGTATTTAGTCTAGTTGAAATTTTAAGCTGCAGTTGGTTACATGCAATTCGAGAAGAAAAAGACCGCTTAAATGACATGATTCTACATAAACAAGTTGTCGTGTTAACGTTGAAGCTGTTAGGCTTGGTTTATTAACCCGCTGAATCGAATTTCATATCAGATTTAATCGTGCACCTGCAAGTGACGTTTCTCCTGGTTGTAAAATCTGATTGTCTGCTAAATCGTGACACAAACAAATACCACGATTCAGTTGTCAATCAGTGTCGATACCCAAGAGTAGCGTCACTTGCAAATATCCAATCATTAAGCCGCCTCTTGTATGATTTGTAATTTCGCTGACTTTCAAATTACTCAAAGTTTAAAATCCATTCGTCTGAAATGAAGCTAATTTATAATGATCAATTCAAATTGCAACAAAATTAATTATATTCAACTCACATCTTGTATGTTTAATTCTTGAACTTTTTTGGTCACTCTGCAGGTAGATTTGACCAAAATGGAAAATATGCAGTGAACAAAAAAATCTTATTGCTCAGTTAAGTGCATTTTGCCAAAGTACACAAAATTGTTTATCTGACTCGTTTAATTTGGTACTTGCAACTCGAGGAGAGGTGGATCATTGAAACACATACACGTGATCTATGACGTCAGCACCAGCTGAACGCTTATGAACAGGATGGCAATTTAAAGTCCAGCTAAGTTTCTCCATTCAAAAATCATTTGCAACCGGAAACAACAAAACAATTGCCCCACAATGTAATTAAAAATGCTCTTAATCCACATATTTTTTTTAAAAAATCGTTGAGCAATTTTGGGAGTAAATAATGCATGATATTAAGGTGAAGTTATTTTAACCAAAAAACTGAGGAAAACTCAATTAATTGAATACCTGGAGATAACCAAAGCTCCTCTGATCCGCAAACATACTTAAAAACAGTTGAATATATACGAATGGAGAATAAATCATGTTGACTGTGAAAATGATTTCTGATGACGGTTTTTTCCCCTAAAAAATAATCATTTCAGATTTAAAGACAGGAAACAGTTTTTAGATAGCAAATTTCATAATATTTTTATTATAAAATGGATTTACTACAGAACATTGTAAAAAAACATTTAAAAAAAATCTTCAGCTCTTTGATAAAAACATTGCCGAAAATTATTAGGAAAATTTAAAGGTTGTTTTTCGATGGCTCCGTCGTATTACGAAATGACACACCTTTTTGCGAATAATATGCTGTTTTTGTAACTGCTATGAGTTTGTAACTGTTACTCATGACTGTAAGGTTAATTTTAGCCTATCCTAAGTGAGCAATGTCGATGCTTATATTGAAAATGATGCAAAACGTCAATATGGAGAAAAGCCACAGTTTTGTGATAGTAAAAAGCGTTTGTGATCTATTTTTTTTAAAAATTTAATAACTCACTTCAATGTTGCATGACTTGGGCTGATAAAAGTTTGAAAAACTGAAACTAAGGCAGTGATTTTGATAAATTTCACCAAGTTGAAAAAATATCACCAAATTGGCGATTTTTTTAAAAAAATGTTTAATAACTTTTAAAATATTTAAGTTATTTGACTGTTCCAAAGCCCAGATAATTCTTCATGACAAGATTATATATATATATTGTATGAAATCTTAGCACTCTACTTCAAGTATAAGGCACTTAACCCTTTTGAAGGCCGTGGTAAGTATACTTACCACCACGTTTTACCACTTTTAATTAATGTTTCCATTTTTCAATAACTACTGCTTTCTTGAAGTGAGTTTGAATAAAATTAGCAACCATTTGTCACTTTTAAAAAACGTATAAAAGTTATAAAATACATAATTCCTTTCGAAGTTTGAAGCATTTAAGGAATTTATGTTATAAATAAAGAAGAATAAAAGTCAGTAAGTTCCTAATAGGTCATGTTAAATATATTTACCACAAAAAATGGCATTTTTATAAACTAAATGGTTTTTTTTTTATATCAGTTACTGTTTTTAAAACAATTTCAATTCCAAAAATACTTTAATTTACCTTTACTAGAAATAAAGGGCCCATTAAAGGGTTAAACTATAGCTTTTTTATTTTCCTTAGCGACAGAGCTGTAAAAAACAGCGTTAAATAAGAACAATATGATTTAAATTGTTTACAACGTAGCCTTAAAAGACTTCTTCATTTAGAACGATGAAAAGCGCACATCGAACAGATTAATCTATCATTTCAGACAAAAATATTAAACCTTAACAACAGGTACGTATCTCTACATTTTACTCTTTTGAAAGGATATTTTTTTCTCTTTATAAACTAATAATTGTACTTATTAAATGTACAAAATGTAATGATACTTACTAAATGTAATGATACTTACTAAACATATTGATACTTACGAAATAAAAATAATCTAATATTGCTGATCTCTGTAACACTATGCCACATATCGTTAGCACAAGCCAGAAAACTGAAAGAGCATATGAAGTAGCTACTCCACATGTCCTATTTCGAAGCATAAGCTTTATGGTTAAGATCTGAAACGGAAGTAAGGTGACTAAATATTAAAAAATAACATCACTTTGAAAAATTATTAAAATGAGCTGTAAAAAGTTAAATTCGATAAAGTTTTCAAGTTTTTATAGCTAAAAAGGATATAAAATTAAGTCCGAAATGAGGGGGAAAGTAAATGCTTACGTAGTTATTAACACGTTGAGCGCCGCGTCAGGCATCGGTGGCTGACACTGAAATTACATTTAGGCCGTATCAACCACCGGTGGGTGACACTGAAATTACATTTAGGCCACGTCAACCACCGGTGGCTGACACTGCAATTACACACACACACCAACATTTAACCCTGCACCTATGCCCCTAAAAGGGCATTTATCGGTTAATGGTTAAGTTTGGAAGACGAGACAGATAGAAAAAAAGAGAGGAAAAATAGCAAATAGAAACAAAAAAGAGAAGAAAATAAAAAGAGATATGAAAAAAAAACGATTGCTCTATTTGTTAGGGCATTTGATTAAAAAGTATCCAGAGCTAATTGGCCAAGTTTAGTTGTGGTTGTTGCGCAACTTTGCATAATTTGTCATTTTTTCTTGAAAATTATTTCAGGATTTCCTCGTATTCTTCTAGAAAATTAATGAGGTTTGTTGCCTTCTGTTTCAAATTTGGATTCTTATGGATGGATCTCTTCCAAGCTATGAGGAATTCTAGCTTTGGTTGTTTAAAGTGGTAGGATGCGGTAAGCGAACATTCTATTGCATAATGCCACACTGTTCCTACTCCTCCACAGGCACATGTATTGTCAGTTGCCAGGCAGAATCGCTTTAGATATGCTTTGAAGGGGACATGCTCTGTAAAGAAGAGGATTAGCTGTCCANGTGGTAAGCGGACATTCTATTGCATAATGCCACACTGTTCCTACTCCTCCACAGGCACATGTATTGTCAGTTGCCAGGCAGAATCGCTTTAGATATACTTTGAAGGGGCCATGCTCTGTAAAGAAGAGGATTGGCTGTCTATTCCATTCCAAAGGTTTAAATGAGACATTTGGTAAAATTTCTCTGATTAATGTTCCTGATTTTGGTTTGTGATGATGCCAGTATTGTTGCCAGTCCTTTTTAATTTGTGTTTTAGCTTTAAGCTTAATGAATGAGCGTGGAACTTTGATGTTGAAAAATTGACCCTTATGAATTGCCTCTTTAGCTAAATTATCAGCTTGTTCGTTTCCATCGTTGTTATTATGTGCTTTAATCCAAGAGATTTGAAGGCCATTAGTATTATTAAGTAGATTTTGGATGTCTTGTATAATCTGATGAGTGGTATTATAATTACACTGCAATTACATTTAGGCTGCATCAACCACCGGTGGCTGACACTGAAATTACATTTAGGCCGCGTCTGCTACCGCTTGTTGACACTAACCTTTCACATAGGCCGTGAAAAACAGCTGGCTGACAACGTATAACATGATATAGAACTATAACATTTACTCTTTTATAGAATTGCAGAAAATTTATTAAAAAATTTACTTAATTATTGTGATTCTAGGTTTAATAAATTTAATTTAGTAGATTTTTATTCACCACTATTTTTAAACAATTCGTAGGCATATATAATTCAACACTTTTTAAACAGATATGTCATGCCAAACCTTGTATAAACTAACAAAATCTGTCTATATTTGCAAATTTAGTTTGTAGTTATTTACCGTGTGGCCAGACGGGCGAGGTATGTAAAATTAGCGTGGCATTCAACGTGTTAATGAATATAAACATAAGCCTTAATAAATTGAATGGTATAAAGGTTGCAAACTACAAACCTTACATTTCTTTTAAAGGATATAAAAATGAATTATTACTATCAAAGATATAAAAGCAAAATTAATAAGTCGATTATTGTGTACATTAAAATTTATTAGCTTTCATTATATGTAAATGACTTTTAAATGTTGCTTATTCTGGAGGTTACAAATTGAATATTTACATTGTTTTAAATGGATGTAAAAATGACTCCTAAGAAATTGAATATTAATGAGGAGACAAATTGTTTTGTTTCATTGTTATCAATGAAATAAAAATAAGCTCAATTTGTTGGTTATTGTGGACAATAAAAATTATTAACTTGCATTGATTTTAGAGGATATAAAAAGGAGTCTTACATGTTGAGTATTACTGAGGTTACTAATTACATATTTACATTGATATTAAGTGATATAAAAATAACCCTTAAGAAATTAAATATAACGGGGTTACTAATGGTATCCTCTTATTATCAGGGAAAGAAAAAACTAAGCTCAGCATGTTGGTTATTGTGAACATTGAAAACTATAAACTTCTTATATTTTAAAAGATATCAAAATGAGTCTTAAATGTTAAATATTTATGGAGCCTGCAAACTGTATACTTATATTGCTTTTAAGTGATATAAAAATAAATCTTAAGAAATTGTCTATTATGGAGTTTACTAATTGTATCCTTACATTATTATTATCAAGAGTAGAAAAATAAGCTCAATACGTTGGTTATTGTGGACATTGAAGCTATTAACTTATTAAATTTTAAAGGATATTAAAATGAGTCTTAAACGTTAAGTATTATGGAGGGGGCTAATTTAATATTAACATCAATTAACTTAATAACAAAATAACTTAAGGGACTTAAAAATAAGTCTTAAATTGAGTAATATGGAGGATACAAATTGAAAGCTGATATAATTTTAAAAATATAGATAAATTGTACCTACAAAAACAAAAATGTTAGAAGATGAAGCTACAAACGAGGAGTAAGGAACACTGACTTCTGAGATTTTCAAATGAATATATGTACTACATTGAACTATACTTATGATCAGAAGACTAAGTGACAGCACCTGTAACAGTTAAATTCAAGTAAAATTTTTAATATGTAGAGAGAAAAAAAAGAGTACATGACATTAAAATTATATAATAAAGTCTGAATCAAAGCACATAATGAATTTTTCTTTTAGCAAATTAGTATCCAACAAATTTCATGTAATCAGTATTTTTTCATAAAACACATACGTTTATTTCGCTGTGTTATTTACGCACATGGGTTGATTAAAATAATATAAACTTTTTATATTAACTTTATGTAAACAATCTTTCTTTAAACAACAATCGATTTGGAAGAGTATACATGACAAATTTGCTGACACAATTTGAAAATATTGCTTGAAGCTTTAAGAAATTATGTCTTTTTTATCCATGTAAATTTTCTTTTGGCAAAACAGACCACTAGAAGTTGAAAGTCTCTTTCCTTTTTCTATACAACTATAATTATAAAAGCATTGTTCTATAAATATTGCAATCCTAGCTTTGCATAGGCAAAAATGAGATAATTCACAAAAGCTTCAAACATGATCTTTTAGATTGTGCCAAATATTTTACTATGCAAAATCTTCCAAAACATTAGTAACTAGAAGAAAAATTTTTTACGTAAAGTTAGTAGTATTAGAGTGTTTTCATTATTTTGATTAACCCTTATATACAGCTCCTCTAACGTAAATCCGATGATACTGAACTGTCATTCTGAAGAGCCGGATTCGATACTAAAAGTGGCTGCTCGAAGCCCACCCTACTTCAAATCAATGGGTATCAGCCAACGCCTCCACACGGTTTTTCATAGGTAGTAAGATATGTGAAGGATATCCACTTACTGAAAGAGTCATTAAATACAGAACATAGTTAAAATAAGAAAGTGGTAGTAAATATATGACTAAAAATTAATTTTATTTATGAATATCACTGATTTGCCTTATTCACTTGTCAACCACTACAGATTCAATTCTCAAATTTATAAGATGAATTTCTCTCAATTACTTTTATAAATTTATACGCTTGCGTAACCACTCTGACCCCCTCTCTTCCCTTATTCTCCATACTATCTTAGATGAAGGTGTAGATAGCCCTATGGGCTAGGAACATCGTAACACATAATTTATATCGTAACACATAATTATAATCGGTACTTTTATAAAAGGTTTGGAGTTCATGCGCACAACTGGTTCACTTTTTAAACAGTCTGCGCGGACTACTTATAAAAGACAGTGTGGAGGCTTCTTGATGTAGGAGGTGATGTATCAGCTCGTCTGTGAAGCAAAGCCGGTCTGTGAACAGTGCTGCCCACGTTTCCACAATCATGCCGTTGGTATGATTGTTGAAATTGTTAAGCCTTAACCTTCACGAACCCCTTGGCCCACAATCGACTGTTGCGGAAATGCGTTACTGTGTTTAAATCACAATATCTCTAAACTCATATAACATCACTTTGTAGCTCGATAAAAATTTTAAAATGTCAAAATTTTGTGTTTATTTTTAGCTTCAAAAAATTGTTTTAAATATTGAACATTAAATATATTTGTTCTAAACACGATACATTGGAAGAATTAGTAAAGATTTGTAAATTACTGCTTTGTCAAACCGTTGTTTCGTAATTGATAAAATTGAAAAAGTGAGGACGGATTTATTTTAGCTGGAATGATAAAATATCCAAATTTTTTTAACGGATGCAATTTATAGATTGAATTTGCTTCTTCAGTGAAAAAAATTTCATAGCCATGTATTGTTTATTGTTAAGAATAGATTTTTTCCACCCGAAAAGTATCTATTATTGAAATAGTTCTACTCCCAGTTTTTTCTTTTTTATTCTGTCTCGCTTCCAGGCCTGCTGCAGATAAGCAAAAGGACGTAGTGAAGAGTTAAGGCTCCACATACCCATAATATGTTGAGATCACTGGACCCATTAGTGTGCACCGCTTACCTTTACTTTTATTGCAAAGAAAAAATGCATTTGTTGACATTACTATCCTAACTTTATATTAATGATATTATTTCAGTTTTTGAATGGAAAGTCATAACAATCGTACAATTATAAATCACGAGAATGAAGTTTTTAAGTGAATCTGCAGAGCAGGCGATTATAGTTATCCGTGTCTTTTAACACGTTCACGCCGTGTGTTGCGTCTGAAAGCGGGACGGAAAAGAGAAAATACTGGTAGAAGAACTATTTCAATATTAGATAATATTAGGGAGGAGTTAATCTATTCTCAACGATAACAATTCACTGTAAGGAAATTTGGCACGGCGAAGAAGCAATTCAATGTAAAAACTGCATCCGTTAAAAACAATTGGTAGTTATGGATTTTTATTATTCCCGCAAAAAAAAACTAAAAAATGAAATTTATTTGTTACCAGTTTTTACTCCGGTGCGCCCCCTGATGAGACAATCTAGCGTGACCTACCGGTGGGTCACCCCGGCGTGAACATGTTAAATCATAATAGTCTTCTTTATTTTTCTTCTTATTTTGCAACAACCCTGCTCATAGAAAGAATATAAATATAATAGNAAAAAAACTAAAAAATGAAATTTATTTGTTACCAGTTTTTACTCCGGTGTGCCCCCCGATGAGACAATCTAGCGTGACCTACCGGTGGGTCACCCCGGCGTGAACATGTTAAATCATAATAGTCTTCTTTATTTTTCTTCTTATTTTGCAACAACCCTGCTCATAGAAAGAATATAAATATAATAGAAACATTTTTTTCTCTATTAGCTATAATTATAAGAGGAAGGGTTTGTGTATGTATCTGGCCTACAGTTCCAAAAACGTTCGTTCAAAAATTCTGAATTGTGGGAAGCGATTTCAATTTCAATTCTAGCCCCGCGGTGCCTAAAAATCCTAAAAACATTTCAATTTGTTCGTTTTAGGAGGGTTACTTGAAAAACATTTTTTTTTTTTGTTAAAGATAAATCCCAAAAATAAATAAACTTATAATCACACTCCCCCCGCCCAATTTTAAAAAGAAAATGGGTTTTTTAAAAAGAAAGTTGGTCCTAAATGGTAACAATGATGTTTGCTAGTGTACAGCTGGGTTTAATCAAAAATGAGTTTCATAGAGAGATTTCTTACGCGTTCTTTAACAGTTATTTATCCTTGATTATGTCTGGTAAGAAGAGGTAAATTTAAGATGGGGTGACGTCATCCAAAAAGGTAGTTAGGAAAACTATTTAACACCACGAGTTTATTCTGGAAATAATAATATTTTAGAAACATGTTTTTTATGAATCAAAAAATATAAAGTTAATACTAGTTTAAATTTTAAAAAAATAATTCTTTACTAAAGTGTAAATTCATCGTAAAATGAGCTTAATCGTAGCAAATTTTGACCATCGTGTCACTATCAATTACTATTCAACATCACTATTTTTGGTTTTAACTTGCAGTAGTCCTTTATGGTAGGCGGTCTACGTGGTGGTTAATTTTTTTTTTCTCTAGGAAGAAGCAATTCAATATGTAAATTGCATCAGTTAAAAAATTTCGGTAGTTATGGATATTTTATTATTTCCGAAAAAAACTAAATATGAAATATATATTTTTGCCAGTTTTTGCTCTTTTCCGTCTTGACATACGTGGACTTTAAGCCCTGGTCTACACAGAAGAATAGACAGTGCTCAAATAAACGAGGGAATAATTTTAGTTCATTTTCTGCAAGAAATACGTAGAATCGGTTAAAATGTTGCTTACCAGTTTTGAAATATTGAGCCACGTCCATGGTAATGGATTCAAGCTGTGTCTTTTTCTTAATCGCCAAACGCAGATGAGGAATATAATACTGAAAATCGCTGATGGAGTAGTTACAAATACGATATCTTGAAAACAATTTGAAAAATCTGGAACTTGTGAATTCCATGTTTGGTTTAAATCCTAAAAGGTAATTTTTTAAGTAACTCAAGAACAGTTAAAGAAAGAAAATGTGAAGAAGAATATCAAATGATTATAAGTTCTCAAAAAAAGGTGAAAGCATATTATAGAGTTTAGCAAATTTATTCATTAATCAAGAGTTGTCAAAAATCTATTTCTGATATGTAATGCTTACAACTTAAACTTAAAACTAATATACAGCTTATAAAATTGAGTTTACTGCCTGTCTAAACATACCTTTTCGTGAAATATAAAACTACCATGTTTAAGTATATATAAAGATATACTCTGAAAAAGACGTTTCACAATTTTCCTACAAATATATTTTAAAACTAGACAACTCAGGCTGGCGCTAAGACTTTCATTGAAATAATTTCCAAGAATGAGTAAAAGTGTTTGTTAATGGGGAAATAAGCATTAAAATTTTTTAAATTAAATAATTTCTGCTAACGTTAACAGTTACTTCACAACAACTAAAAAATTTTAGTTACCAGTTTGACATATATGGTTACAGATCTAATACCACCACTTTAAATATAAAAATAAAATTTTACTCAAAATGCGTAAATGATGAGGAGTGTATACGAGGTCTGTGATAAGTTCATTCTGTGGGTTAACAGAGCTGCTAACTTTCTCCATTTTTTGTAAAAATTTATTCTACTAGTTGCTAAATCAATATTTTAATGTAATATTTGTTATTCATTTAAATTTATTTTTCACACCACTGCATTAGATAAATAATTTAAAAGCCTTATGCAACTCTACTTTGTAGCTCGTTCGTAATATGGTTTTTAAAATGTTGGCAAAGTTATCAAAAGTACTGAAACCTTTGACTTTTATATTTCTACTTAGTTATGAAATATTTTACAAAAAGTATAGCAGTTGGCAACTCTATATCAAACAAATCTATAACAAAGTATAGCAACTCTACATTGAATCGGCGTTTTATTTAATGTTAAATTGTATAACACTACACTTACTAAATGTAGACTCTAGCTTACTTAGCAGTAAATTTTAATATTATCTGTATTAAATAAAATAAGATTTTCGTCTTTAACACATGCAAGTCAACCAGCTACTACGCTCCTTATAATATTTTATAAAAGGTACAATGTATTATTATATACGATTCTATTCATAAGTTTTTTGCAAAATATAGTATTTAAAAACCAAAATTTTTGTAATTTTTGGTAATTATGCTTACATTTTAAAAGCCTTATCACGAAGGAGCTGTAGCAAAGTAGCATTGCATATGAACTTTTAAATCATTTATATATAGTGGTGCGAAAAATAAGTTCAAATGAATAAAAAATAATACATTCAAACATAAACTTACATACCACTACAATAAATATTTACAAAAAGCGTAGAAAACTGAAAGCCCTACAGTAAATCAAATAAAATAATAATGAATACTTTTAAACTATTCTCATAGCTATAAAATAAAATAAAATTTAACCCAAAAGTCGAGTTATTACAGAGAATGACCATAACAGTTTTGGAAACATAGAATGAATATTTACTATGTCATACTTGTCTCTTAATAATTATTGTTTATATACATTTTTAATAATATAATCTATTGCCTGTACATAAATAAGCATTACTTACACAAAATATGTCATTACAAAATTTATCTTTCTCATTCTTCTAGTCAAACCCTTAATCTAACCATTTATTTCAAATTACGAAAAAAAAGCTGTGTTTTTCGCTTTTTTTTTAAAATTATAACATTTTACTTTCAAAAATGTAAAAGCAAGTCAAGATTTTACTAGCATTACCTAGTACAATTTTTATACTTTAATGTTACGCACGTTTAAGTCGCAAAAAAATATCACTTACATACAACTTTATTTATTTATTTATTTATTTTGAAATTCCTATTTTTATACTATTTTAAAATCGATTGAGAGATTCATCTATATCAAATAAAATAATGACGAATACTAAAGTTATCTCATCGCTATTGAAAAGCTTTTTCCTGAAATTCGAATTATTGCCCAGAATAATAATAATTTTGGAAACTTAGAATAAATATTTAATATTTCATTCTAGTCTAAATAATTATTGTTCATATAAAATATTAATATATTATTATCTATTTCCAGTAAATAAGTAAACATAACTTACCCAGAATTTTTCACTGCAAAAATTACCTATCATACTTTGCGAGTCAAGTCTTTAATCGATACATTTATTTCAAATTATAAATAAATCGGTGCTTAGTTATTTTTTATGCGAAATAACAACCTTTCACAATCAACACCGTCTTTAAAAGACTCGATTTTAACTTTGCGTTATGTTGTGCAACTTCATTCCTGTTTTGCGCATGCGCAGTTCAAAATAAAGTCCCACAAATACAATTTTTATTCGTTTAAAGTCCTATTATCTGGTTAATTGCTAACAAATAGCGGAAAAGAACTGATTAATTTTGCTTACTCTAAAAATTATCAATTGAGAAAACAATTGATAGGGACCCAAAAGAAAGAATAGTTCAAATGAAGCGAATAAATAAAACTTATGCAACTTCTAGTAACACAGGTAACATCAACTTATAAAATGTTGTGTAACTTAAAATCTTACGTAAATTTCTACAGTTATATGCAATTTATACTTTCTTACATTTCACGCTTATGCTATAAATAATATAAAGCATAAATAAATACCAAACTAAAATAGAAAAGATTAAAAAAAATTCGTTGAAGTCAATCATTTGCACTTAGAATATAATTCTAATCAAATTGTATTGTAAATCATATGGATTTTTTCATCAAAAATTATCTATAATGCATTTTTTTTATATAATTAAGCTTCGGAAGATGCAAAAAAGACATAGTTTTTTTAAAATATAGTTTCAGAATATTTAAAAAAATTATACCTTTTCTTCTGAAATATTTTCCAAAAAATTTAATGTTACTAGATTTTTTATTTGTTCCACTATACATCAATATTAGTATCAGGTAAATAACGACTTTTTCTTGAATTAATTACTAAGTATCAGTCAGATTTTAACAATTTGATTCACTTTTATTTATCCAGAAAAAAATTCAAAAAGTTAAACATAATTTCATTTGCAGTAATAAGAAAGTAGAAAGTGCCTTTAAACTAAATGATTAAGATACTCTGCATTTATATTCGAAATTATTTACTGTTAGCTACCATTTTAATCCTTAAAAAATCCCAATCCAAATTTAGACTCCTGTATAGAATTTTTGTATTAAGAATTAGAATGTGAAATATTTTTCCACAATAAATTCATATAAAGAACTATTATGGTATAACTAGTATGATAATATAAAAAACTACTTAAATATTAAATATTTTTAATAAAGTAGTTTTTGTTAGTATAAGTAGTCCTTATTTTGTTTAGTAAAAAGGATATGTTTCGAAAATCTAAAAATTGGCATTTAGTGGGGTTTTTTTTTTCACTTTAAATTCATTCCGAATTGAAAATTTTAATGTGATTGTAACAAGTGTCATATTCTACTAGAAATTATGGAGTTAGTAACAAATGGAAGTAAAAGAAAAAAATAATGTGATAGTCACAAATCACATTTTATCTAATTAATAAAGAAAGTATTCTGCTATAGTACAAACACCTTTTAAGAAAATACGAAAACAGGCAAAAATATAAAAAAAATTAAATAAAATAAAAATATTGTTTCAAGAAAAAGTCCTTACGTATTCCCCACTATGAAAATAATAAATGAGATAGTTGAAGAAAAATTAAAACTACGAAATTAACGGAACAAAGAAATCCTATTTTACAAAAAAAAAAAAAAAAAAAAAAAAAAAAAAAAAAAAAAAAAAAAAAAATTAAGAAAAAAGAAAAGAAACAATTATAAATAAACAATAAAAAAATTTATGTGATTAAAAAATATCATACATACCGAAAAGAAAAATTACTGCAATAAGACAAACCAAATATTGCTTTAAAAAAAGAGAAAATAACGGCTACTATTCAAAAAGAGAAGTAATAATAATAATAATAATATAGATATTATGAAAGTAAAATAATAAATCCTATTCGACAAAAAAAAATAATTACTGTGGTAGTACCAAACAACTGTCTACAGTGCTCAAGAAAATAAACAAATCACCTTAGATTACTTATGATCTAATGATCGGATCTTCACTTTTCAGTACCCAATCTGAATTGTTCGAGCAACTGACTCATATATGTTAATTGGTTCAGATGATACTTGAAAATACGAAATCGGACAAAAAAAATGTTTTTTCTTTTGATACCTACTTTTCGACTAATTCGGATTTCTGACAGCCCAAAATATAGGAGGTAATAGGTGGTGTGGAACATAGTCCCAATTGTTTATCAGAAGAGTGGTCTAAAATTTGCACCACTTGATGTTAATTTCATATTTTGCGTGTTTCACCATATTTCGAGAACTTTTTCACGAGACTTGAAAAATTTTTGCACAAAATTTTAAAATTCATTTATCGAAAAGTAATTTCATACAAAATATAAATTTTAGAAAATATTTATTATTTTTTTACTGTTTTATATATGAATGAATAAATTTGAATTGTAAGATATGCAATTTTTTACATCATTTTAAAATAATGTGATTTTAGATCACAAAGTGAAAATTTTCAGCATATTGGACGATTAGTTCCGGAGAAATCAAATTTTAAAATAGCAGAATACTTATAAATAAATTTTTCAGGAACTATTCCACCAATTTAACTCAAATTTAGTACGTTTGTCATGTAAACTTACATTCTTTAAAATGACGTAAAACATTGTATATCTTACTTTTCATATGTTTTCATTAATATTGAATAAAATAAAAGCAAATAATGCCGACCGCCCTGTGTAGGGGGCAGGGAACTGTCCTTGCAACAGAAAGGTCCTGGGTTCAAATCCCGGGCAAGGCATGGATGTTTCTTTCTCTCTCTGTGTGTTCTATGCCCTTTCTCCTTTGTGTGTGAATGTGATCAGCCCTATTAGCGGGTTGTGGTTGTGTGAATGGCGTGGCAGAAGTCGAATTCCTGGCCATAGATGGCGCCACTGAAAAACAGGAACAATTGCGCTCCCACTGCCTAAACAGGCACACAACAAAAAAGCAAATAATAAATATTTACTAAAAGTAATTTTTGCATAAAATTGACTTTCGATAAATAAATTTTAAAATTCTGTGCAAAAATTTTTCACTTCACTTAAAATAGTTTTCGAGATATGATGAAAAACGCAAAATGTAAATTTATCACCAAGGAGACCAAACTTTTGATCACTCTCCTCATCAATCAAATCAAATAGATTAAACTATATTTCCCAGATAGTGGTCTCCTCCCATATTTGGGGGTGTCAGAAATCCAAAAACGTCGTAGAAATGGTATATTTATTCAGAGAAAGTATATTGAGTCTGATTTCGTATTTTAAAATATCGTCTGTACTAATTAATTATCATATTTGAATATACTTCGAAAATTATATCGTATATCGTCATATTTATATCCCTCGAAAAAAAATTATAATTGAACCCTAGAACGTGAAGATTCGATCATTAGATAAAAAGTTAGTCAGCATGGTCCGTTTATTTTTTTGTACAATGTAAAAAAAAAATAAAGTAACCGTGACTGTAACAATCTACGCTGGACAAAAAATTACTGTAAAGGTAATAGATGGAGTGCTCGCCTCCCAATGCAGTGATTCGGATTTGAATCCCAGCGATGGCTGATCGATATTGATTCTGTACAAGGCTCAAATTTAACCACAATGTTGGTGTAAACTAGACTCAGCGGTAGACGGGTCATTGGTCAGAGCCCCTCTGACATCGGGTTAACCGTGGAAGGTGTTAGTGGTTTTTCTTTCCATGTAACGCAAATTCAGGTTAGTCCCATTCAAAAAGTCTTCCACGAAGGCAAATTTTCCCCAATACTTGATCTGGGAGTTCACTTGCCTTCTGAATTGGATTCAAAACAAGGCTACGGAGTTGAACATTGGTAATCGTAAACCCAAAATTAGGACGATTGTTCAAAGCCGGTTATGAAATTAAATAGAATAAAATGTTGCGTGAGCTCGTCGCTACAGCTACAACGTGTATGTGAGTAAAAACGGACAGTTATTCCTGGGGAGAAAATAGGAATTGAATATTTTCATTTCATACATTTTTTTCCTTCACAGTCCCAACTAGTTAACCCACCCTAGTTATTCTAAGTAGGAAGAGATACAATCATTAGGTCAAGAATTATTTGCAATGTAAGATATTCTATTTTACGAACTGTTTGTCAATAACAAATAGTTACTAAGTTTTTATTCCATTCACAAAGTTCCAAAATAATAATAATGAACTAAATAAATCTTATCACCTTGAAACTTTATCTGCTCAAACTCGTTTTCAAAACCAACATTTTCCTCTTAAAATTTGCACAAACAACACTTTATTTAAGAATGACAATACTATGTTGACACGAACTTATCAAATGAAGAGTTAAAAGACTGATATGTAGATTGGCAGCCATTTTACAATTTCTTTCTATTTTTCTTTCAATATGACACATTCTGTTTTATCTCTAATGCAAAAAGATTTTTCTTTTTTATTTCCATCACAATGCTCTCAAAGATAATCAATCACAGTTTAGATTAGTGCTTTTTTTCCCTTTTCCATGTCAAATTTACCCATGTATTTCCTTCCTCGCGTAAAACTTGCTCTTTCAAATGTTATTGTTTGTTAACGCACCAAGGGATGAAATCGGTTCTATCATGATATAAATTTTTTACGAATAAATTGCATTTTTTTTTCTTTTCTTTTTTTAAATTAAAGCCTTCAAGTTATTACGCTATTAACAGTCACCTTCTGCAGAAGAAAGCCTCCTGACTTTCTTTTTATAAGTATTCTACCCAGACTATTTAAGAATTAACCTATTGAGCCAGGAGTCGAAATTCTATTTTGAAAATAATTGAGAGAAATGTATCTTAAATATATGAGAATTGAATTTGTGGTTGTTGATAAGTAAATACGACAAACCAATGATTTTCATAAATTTTTCAGATGCATATTTGCTGTCACTTTCTTAATTTTGCTAGATTTCCTTTTGATACACTCTTTCGTAAATCTGAGTATTTTAATGACAGTTTAATCGGATTACGTAAAAGAAATCTTCTGGAGACTTTCTTTTAATGAAGGTGTTGTATCCAATGAAGTGATGACCTTGAGCGGTGCTTCATGCTTCGTAGTGTGCACTTTTCATGTAAATAATAATTTTATAATATTTATATTTATTTACAACTTATGTTTTATATATAACTTATACACGTAAGTTATGCAT